GAATTACATAGAAAAGTTCTTGAACAATTCAATATGCAAAATAGTAGCCTAGTTGATACTCCTATTAATAAAGGCTATGCCTTTATAAGTTAGATATGTCCTAAGACTTCTGAAAAGATAGAAAGAATGAGCTGAGTTCCTTATAAGAGCGCATTTGGAAGTCTAATGTACGCTATGGTATGCACTAGACCTGATATCTATCAAGCAGTTGGCTTGGTAAGTAGTTATCAAACCGACCTAGGTTTAGTACATTAGCAAGCAGTAAAGAGGATCATGCGATATCTGAAAGGAACTACTGATTATGTCCTTTGTTACCAAGGCGTCGAGGATTTGCAATTAGCTGGATACAGTGATATTGATCATGGAGAAGATCTAGACGAAAGCAAACCTACCTCAGGATATGTTTTTCTTAGTGATGGCGTCGTATCATGGCATAGTAAGAAACAATCATGTGTATCACTATCTACGATAAAAGCCGAATACGTGGTTAGTAACGCAAGAAGTTGTTTGGTTGAAAAAGTTCTTGGAATACTTGTTGGATATCACAGAAAATGTTGAACAAGTGTTAGTCTATTGTGACACTGAAGCTGAAATATCCTCTACCAAGGACCCTAAGTTTCATTGTAAAATTAAACACATAGATATCAAGTATAACTATGCGAGAGACATAGTTAGATGCAAGGTAGTGAATGTGAAGTATGTGTCTACAAAAGATATGTTAGCAGATCCATTGACCAAACCTTTGTCTAGAGATGCATTTGTGAGACACACTAGGTCTCAAGGCTTGCGTAGACTTTGATATACTTCATTTTGTTATTTATTTTCCCATATTCACAAAACTGATGTTCTTTAATTATCAATAAAGTTAATTTACATACATACATATTTTTATGGATCAATGTTATGTGCATTCTTTGTTCATTTTTTTTTGATATGTATGTCGAGTAGAGAAGAGGTTGGACTTCTCACATAGGTAACGACCTCCTTATCTTAGTCGAGAGATGAGACATGATTCTAAACAAAATTATCATAAGGATACTTTAATAGCTATTTGCTTAAAATCAGAATATCGCTTAAATAATTACATAAGGCAGTATGGTGAAAAATGTCCACCTATCTACTTTGTGAGCCAGACGTGAGTTAAAAATGATATTGTAGATCAAAAAACTCAAATTTAGATACTTATGATTTTAAAATATCATCTGTAAAACATTCTTTATGAGATAAAAATATACGCTCATGGGAAAAAGGGAGAAAATATTATATTACGTGTTTCATATCATGTGTGCTAATATGAACAACTGGCTAGCTGTCTGAATTTTGCTGTGGAGAATCAAGGTATACATGCCGTCGCATTTGCAGGCCTTGAAGTCACCATATGAAATTGTACTTGTACCAGGGGTGTACATAGAACTGTTAGTAAGCATTGTTGATATTTAAAGAGATGAATAAACTGTGGGACAAATAACGAAAGAGATGAGAAGTTTAGAATGACGATAGTAAGTAAAAAAAAAGGGCAGGTCGGTGCACTAAGCTCTCACTATGCGAGGGGACGAGTAAGTAAAGCAGTGTTACTAGGTTTACCTAATTAATAGGGATGCTTTCCGTGGTATTGAAAGGGACATGGACAAGTGTGAAATCGTAATGCTAAAAACTTTATTCTTTGCAGGCGGGGGGCTCTCTATCCTTAAGATAAGATTTTTTTCATTCTTAAAAGCCTTCTTTCATAGATAATCAGTAGTATTCCTCTCGCTAGCAATTCTGAGTAAGAGGAGGAGGACTTGATGTGACTACTATTAGATTGATCGTCGAGCCTAATCGACTCGACCTAGATACTCGAAAACCGGTTTTACCCAAAAAAGGCATATCTAAAATTTGCAAATTGCAAAAAGTAAAATAATCTTTTTAAAATTATGATTCTAAGCTACACTATATATACTTAAATAACTTCTTTTATGCATTCAACTATTTTTTTAATCACTAATAGAATACAGAAGTCTTTATATCCCATAGGTTTAATTAATTATTTTTTATGATGAAATTGAGGATTCACTCTATAAACTCTAGTTTTTCAAAAGATCCATGCTAAAAATTCTGAAAACAAAAAACATCTTCGGTTACGGTCGATCTCCCGACATGAAGTAAGAAAATACAACACCTGTCCACTAAGCCACAGGAATACTATAGTAAAATTTTCCAACTAAGCGGTGTCGGATGACATCACTTGGATAAACATATATCTGCCCCTAACTTGTACTATCTGTTACTATTCTAAAACATTTGTACTTAGATTGTTTTTCTAGTAAATTCAGTAGAGCTTATGACTTGTACTACCAGTTTTTGGGTATTGTATTGCACTCAGGATTATTGGTTTACGATAGAAATTTTAGTTTCATGTTTAATAGTTGTTTTTGATTAAATTATGTCATTTAATTCGGTAAGTGTTAGGCTTACCTAGTATTAGTGACTAGGTGCCATTACGACATCCTACGGAGGGAAATTTGGGATCGTGACAAAAATATAAAAGGATTATCCACTTCTATTAAGGGAAATAATACAAAAAGCAAAGAGACTACATGCGGGTTTGGGAAAATATTTTTTAGTCCTAAAAAATATGTGATTTTCTTACTTATTTTCTGGTATATGATTAGCAAGGAGAAATATTATCCCAAGAGCATTGTACTATAATTTAAGCAAATATTATAATCCTGAATGTGGACCCTAGATGACGACCCCAACCTTGAACCCGACACCCAATCCCCGTCCTCGAACCCAATCTCGACCCCAGAATTCCAAACCGACACTCGTCCCTTGACCCCGACACCTGACATCTGGCCTCGAACTTTGTGTTTCGAGTTGCAAAGTCTAGGGCAGGCAGTGCGATGGGGTGGTGGAGGGAGTTGGTGGCCCGAGAGCGGAAGGAAAGGGCATGATGAAATGGGGGAAGGGGGAGGGGAGAGGCGAGGGCAGGTTGGGGGTGGTGGTGTGGGGAGGGTTTGCTAGGGAAGGGGTGGCCCGATGCATGGGGTTGGTAGGTGGGAAAGGGTGTCGAAGTGGGGGTAAGTGGAG